TATTGTTTTAGACTAATGCACAGTATGCGTATCTGTTACATACACCATGTGTATTTGATACGATCTAAGACAGAATGCTATGCAATATAAAATCGCTAAAATTATAATCATGAGCGTTTGAGTTGTAAAATGATCCTCGATTTGCACTCCACCAGTCTTAATGCAGCCCTTTACGTTCCTGTTTTTCTCTGCTCAGCAGGAAGCGCAGCAGCGGCGAGCTGAGCGACAGTCTCACACCAGATCCCAACAACCTGCTGGGCCGACGGATCCAACACAGCTGGAGGGAGAAGGGTGCTCTGACCAAGTGGAAGGGCACTGTGCTGGACCGCCTCAGCGTCAACTCCTCCCTGTTCATGGTCAAATACGACGGATTCGATTGCGTCTATGGCATAGAGCTCTTTAAGGACGAGAGGGTCTCCAACCTGCAAGTTCTTACCGAGAAAGTGGGTGAGTAGGTGGATCTGTTGTGATGCGAACAGGAAACAAGCCAGTGACAGGAAGTAGCACATGTGCAAAGATGAGCAGTTGCTAGTAGTATTTATAGTTCATGAACTAAGTCTGATAAATAATCATGCTACTAAAACATTATGTGCTACTTTAGATGTGAATACCTATGACCAAAATGTCACGATATAAGTAATTCTATATCTCAGTAATGGTATAAAGTCAGTTTTTTAATACTTTTATTCAGCAAGGATGCATTAAATTAATCAGAAGTGACAGTAAAAACTAGGGATGCACGATATTAGATTTTTGCCGATATCCCGATAATTTTCAACTCATTTTAGCCGATGCCAATGCCGATACCAATATATAACTATTTTTAATTATGGTTAGTTTTTGACAGGAACTTATTTAATAGAATTAAATAAACAATAATAAAGTTCTTTTATAATGACAATACATTGAAGTAGGGCTGGACAATAATTTAATATCAATATGTATCGCGATATAATTTTTTTCAATAACGGTGATATGATTTTTAAACACATTTCCGATATTTCGATATACATTACCAGTTTCCCATACATTGATTTATTTGTGCCGTTTGACTTCGTTGAATAAACATGAGCACTGCACGTTTCAAAATCATAACACGGCGCGGGTGTTTTATATGAATGTATCTCTGAAGGGAATTGACTGTCTTCAGAAAAGTTTCGATGGCATTTTCATTTGATCTGATAAAGAAGCGTTCATGAGCGGAGCTGCTTTGATTACAGCCATTACTGGAGAAACCGCTAGTTTTATCACTCTAAAAGCGCCTCCTGCTGGCAGAGAATCAGTTTTCATTTTAAATAAGCCGTCTCCAGCAACATTTCCAGTTTTTGTTATTGTTCAATTTTTTTGTTTTCTGCAGCGACTCGGAGCACTTTTCATACCCTTTTTTCTGGCTGAAGCACATTTGTTTCAATCTATAAGAATAATCAGCCTACACTACCAGTCAAAAGTTTTTGAACAGTAAGATTTTTAAGGATTTTTTTTTTTTTAAGAATTCTCTTCTGCTCACCAAGGCTGCATTTATTTGATCCAAAGTACAGCAAAAACAGTAAAATGTTGAAATATTTTTACTATTTAAAATTGCTTTCTATTTGAATAGATTTTAAAATGTAATTTATTCCTGTGATCATACATATGTAAATTTTCAGCATCATTACTCCAGTCTTCAGTGTCACATGATCCTTCAGAAATCAGTATAATATGCTGATTTGCTGATTATCAATATTTAAAACAGTTGAGTACATTTTTTTTTCAGGATTCTTTGATGAATAGAAAGATCCAAAGATCAGCATTTATCTGAAATAAAAAGCTTTTGTAACATTATACACTATTCCATTCAGTATAATTTTTATTATTTTTTTGGGAAAGAAATTATAGAAATTAATACTTTTATTATATAATTATGTATATATTAATTATAGTAATATTTATAATTATATATTTTATATTTATAATTATATGAATAAACTAATTATAATTATATTAATATACTTAATTAAATTATATTTTATATTATTAAATAATATTGTTTTAGACTAATGCACAGTATGCGTATCTGTTACATACACCATGTGTATTTGATACGATCTAAGACAGAATGCTATGCAATATAAAATCGCTAAAATTATAATCATGAGCGTTTGAGTTGTAAAATGATCCTCGATTTGCACTCCACCAGTCTTAATGCAGCCCTTTACGTTCCTGTTTTTCTCTGCTCAGCAGGAAGCGCAGCAGCGGCGAGCTGAGCGACAGTCTCACACCAGATCCCAACAACCTGCTGGGCCGACGGATCCAACACAGCTGGAGGGAGAAGGGTGCTCTGACCAAGTGGAAGGGCACTGTGCTGGACCGCCTCAGCGTCAACTCCTCCCTGTTCATGGTCAAATACGACGGATTCGATTGCGTCTATGGCATAGAGCTCTTTAAGGACGAGAGGGTCTCCAACCTGCAAGTTCTTACCGAGAAAGTGGGTGAGTAGGTGGATCTGTTGTGATGCGAACAGGAAACAAGCCAGTGACAGGAAGTAGCACATGTGCAAAGATGAGCAGTTGCTAGTAGTATTTATAGTTCATGAACTAAGTCTGATAAATAATCATGCTACTAAAACATTATGTGCTACTTTAGATGTGAATACCTATGACCAAAATGTCACGATATAAGTAATTCTATATCTCAGTAATGGTATAAAGTCAGTTTTTTAATACTTTTATTCAGCAAGGATGCATTAAATTAATCAGAAGTGACAGTAAAAACTAGGGATGCACGATATTAGATTTTTGCCGATATCCCGATAATTTTCAACTCATTTTGGCCGATGCCAATGCCGATACCAATATATAACTATTTTTAATTATGGTTAGTTTTTGACAGGAACTTATTTAATAGAATTAAATAAACAATAATAAAGTTCTTTTATAATGACAATACATTGAAGTAGGGCTGGACAATAATTTAATATCAATATGTATCGCGCATCAATTACTGCTTTATTTAATCAGAAACACAGTCTAAATATTTGTGTATTTTGCTTTCATTTTATTACAAGTAGGCCAACAGCGCCCCCTACAGATTAAAACTCCTTACTGAGCGGCATTAGGACCCGGGGGAGGCTGCCGGTGCTGCTGCCGCTGCACGTGCTATTACTGTTTACTCTATCGTACACCATTCTGTACGTGCATTCTCAGTTTAAATGCAGCGATCCAAAACTGTGAATCTAATCATCATTCAAAAAATTTTGCTTCAAGAATGAGCCACAATGCTGACATGATCAAATCGCACTGTTGACGTGATCTAATCGCTAGCACACCCTGAGCACATGTGAGTTAATGTATTCCTCTTATCGGCATAATTTTTCATATCGGGCCAATGCCGATATTTACATTTAAAGCCATTATCGGCCGATTCCGATATTGGTCCGATAATATCGTGCATCCTTAGTAAAAACTTTTATATTATTTCAAATAAACACAACAGTCTTGGTGAACTTAAGAGATTTGTTTCAAAAACATTAAAAAATCTCACTGAGTACTGTAATGAAAACAATAATTAGTGTCTGTGGAATCTGTAAACTAATGTTTTTGTTATTATATATTTATTTATTTTATACTGTAATGTAAATGTAAAACTTTTTCTTAATAAATATGTATTAATATACAATTCAACCAGAGCTCCGAAGCAGGGTAAAATCACTGTAAAACACTTGAATGCTCATTTAGTCATTTTGCTGTTTCCTAACCTTTTGAAGTGAACAACAAGATCAAGGTTCCTCATGACGCAGAGGAGCTGGTGGGAAAAGCCGTGGAGCATCTGTTTGAGAAGGAGGACGGAGAGAAGAACGAGTGGAGGGGAATGGTCCTGTCCCGAGCGCCCATCATGACCAACTGGTACTACATCACATATGAGAAGGACCCCGTGCTCTACATGTACCAGCTCTGGGACGACTACAAAGACGGAGACCTCCGGATTTTACCTGAAGCGGGTAAATAAGCTGATGTTTTTAATAAGACCTTAGTTGAAAGTTTCTGAAATTTCTCACCTTTTATATTAAATAAGTATAAAACAATATGAATTTATTTATTATTAAATTTATAAATGTAAAATCTAGATGAATATTATACATTAATTTTATAATAGTAACATTTACATTTATGCTTTTAGCAGGTATGCACCAAGAGCTTGTAACACTCCAAAGAGAAAGGAAAAATTGAAATCGCATCATATGACACCTTTAAATTGTTACTTTGCAGATTGTCTGTGACTCGAGACTGGTTTCTTACTAGCCATGTCTGAGAGATCTTGTATCTTGATTTAAAATTATGAAGAATTAAAAAAAAAAAAATAGACATAAAAATAGACAAAAAAACCCTACAAAAAATAACAAAAACAACTAAATTACTAAAGCTTTAAAATTCAAATGAAAATGGAAAATATAAAAATAAAAACAGATTCAAAATAATAATTAAAACCTCTAGTAGTATTTCAATAATATTAAAATAACACTGTTCTTGAGCAGCAAATCAGCATATTAGAATGATTTCTGAAGGATCATGTGAAGTCTGGACAGCTTTGCATCACAGAAATAAATTACATTTGAAAATATATTCAAATAGAAAACAGTTATTCGAATTTGTAGTAATATTTCACAATATTGCTGTTTTTACTGAGTTTTCAATCAATCTTTAATCAATTTTTAATCAGCCTTGGTGAGAAGGACTTTTTAAAAAAAAACATTAAAAAATCTTACTGACCCCAAACTTTAGATTTCTATATTATTTTATTAAATGAATGGTTTTGTGTGTAGTTATATAAATTAATAATATTAACTGTATTGAAGGGATAGTTCACCCAAAAATGAAAATTACCCTATGATTTACTCACCTTCAAGCCATCCTAGGTGTATATGACTTTCTTCTTCCAGACGAATACAATCAGAGTTTTATTACAAAATGTCCTGGCTCTTCCAAGCTTTATAATGGCAGTGAATGGGTGTTGAGATTTTGAAGCCCAATAAAGTGCATTCATCCATTATAAGAAGTATTCCACACAGCTCCGGTGGGTTAATAAAGGTCTTCTGAAGTGTGAAGTGATGTGTTTGTGTAAGAAAAATATCCATATTTAAATCTTCATAAACCGTAATCTCTAGCTTCCGCTAACTGTCGTACACGCGTTCACAAGAGAGTGGTGTTCCAGCGGATGACGTAGGCATAGCGTAAGATGAAAGAAGAAAGTCATATACACCTAGGATGGCTTGAGGGTGAGTAAATCATGGGGTCATTTTCATTTTGGGGGGAACTATCCCTCTAATTAGAATGAATAAAATGCATGGAATAAGAAGAGTTTATGTTATGTAGCCCAGTTGATTTGAAGTTTAGTAGGCCTCGGTTTAAAAAAAAAACACAAATCCAATCCAGCAGGCTGGATAGACCTGTTAGACCACAACAAACATCATAACGTCTTTATGTTGCTTTACTGTGAAATAAATTGGTCTTCATTTTTTTTTTTGTTAAATTTGATCAAATTCACTGTAATAACGCTCATGTTTTTAGACCACAACAAACATCATAACGTCTTTATGTTGCTTTACTGTGAAATAAATTGGTCTTCATATTTTTTTTTTTTGGATCAAATTCACTTTAATAACGCTCATGTTTTTGTCCCAGCTGATCTAATCAGAGCTTCATGATAAAGTTGGAACGAGGAGCGATTTTTGTTGTGTTCATATGAGTTTCCCATTGTGCATACAGCACAAGATCAAGCTTCATCGTCACAGCCCTTTAAAGTAATAAAACTATTCTTGCATGGCTTGACGTTTTGTTGTAAATAATGCACATGAGCGTGATAATTGGCCATCTGTTCATGTAGCTGATTAGGCCTTTTTTGCTTGTAGCATTTGCACTTTATTCTTAGGCTGTCGTGTGTAGCTCCAAAGTGTCTCGCAGGAAGTCAAAGATTAAAAACACAGTCTGAAATTAATTTAGTTAATTTCAGCTACAAAAAAGTGTCTTGCCTGATTGGCATCACTTAAATGAAATATATAGGAAAGCATCAAAACAATTTGAACTGAACTGAAATTGTATTCTTTTGTTTTGAATATGACCATAGATTTCCAAGAAACGTTATATAACTATATATATATATATATATATATAATTAGAATATATTATAAACCCAGTCCCATATTTACTTTCCCTTTTTTTTTGCTAATTCATTTCATCACACAACATTTATCAACTACTTCAAATTGACTTGTATATAAATGGATTTGGTTATGTAAATGTAATGCATACAGATGGGGATTTCATATGTAAATGTTGGATGTTCAGCTCTGCTCTCTGATTGGGTGTATTTGCTGAACTTTTCCTGCTGTGCTTTGCATGTCTGTCTCGGACAGAGCGACAGTTTTGGAATTCCTCCTGTACATTAGCGCTTCACACAGATTCATCAGTTGTTTATTGTGAAGTTATAGTTTTTTTTGCTAATTCATTTCATCACACAACATTTATCAACTACTTCAAATTGACTTGTATATAAATGGATTTGGTTATGTAAATGTAATGCATACAGATGGGGATTTCATATGTAAAAGTTGGATGTTCAGCTCTGCTCTCTGATTGGGTGTATTTGCTGAACTTTTCCTGCTGTGCTTTGCATGTCTGTCTCGGACAGAGCGACAGTTTTGGAATTCCTCCTGTACATTAGCGCTTCACACAGATTCATCAGTTGTTTATTGTGAAGTTATAGTCTAGTTAGATATTCAGTATGTCATTATCAAAAACACATTGCGGGTTTAATTTATTTTTTGGAAAAGATAAATTGTTTGTTTCTCCTGACACAGTAAATCTTTTGGGCAACCCGATTTGGGATTACAGGAAAGTATTGTTCAGTGAAATGCACATTTCTGTAAATGAATTGTTCTACTTTCAGCTGTGCATATGGATTGAGTTTCTGGTCCGTTTGCCATCACATCAGGTGGATCGTTCTCTGTATATTCTCCGTTGTGCTTTAAAAACACTTGTACTATATTTCTGCTTTCCCTGTAGACAAAAGGTTTGATGATTTCAAGCCGTTTGAAATGTTCAAGGTTTCATGACCCTCAGCAGGCTTCTGCGGTTTTTCTTTCTCCTAACTGTGAACGAGTAATTCTCTCTGGCTTCTTTGTAAATGTGTTTAATCGTGTGGTCTGCGAGCTTCTGCCGGTTTCTTTGGTTCCTCAATTTCATCATTTTTTTTTTGCTGCTTTTTACCAAAGTTATTTTTCAGTAGGTGACGTTGAGGAGTGTCAAACTATTCATCCTGACTGTTTGTGTAATGATGTTATCGTAAATAATAAGAGATATTTTTTGCACTGAAATTTGTTCTCATGGTACTTTTTTTCTATTTATGGACTTTTTAGTCACACATAAGATGCACATAATGTGAAAACAGTTTAATGACAGTATAGGGATGGGAATCTAAATAAATTATTTAAAAAATATCAGTAATAAATACATAAATATATATTTTAATGATTTTCCAAAGCAAAATTGTGTTCTAAATGTTTATATTGTCATACAAACAAATACCTATGAGATTCACTAACTCAGAATAATCTGTGCTGAATATGTATGAATGTTTCAGCCATTTAAAGCAACTGTTTCGGCCACAGAATAGAAAAAAATAATATTATAAAAAAAAAATAATACAACTGGGATTTAGAAATGTAAGAACATAATTGTGAAATGCAGGGCCGTCCCAAGCCCTAAGCATAATTTTATTTGGGGGCCCCTCGGTGCCGCCAATACGACTGATTATTGTCAATGCTTGATTATTCGCACACTATAAATCTCACACCCATTATCAATTGTATTTGTTGTAGCTGTGTTGCATACATCATACCAACGTCTGCCTGGCATGTTTTTACCCTTCTACGATTTTTAATTGTAACAGTAGCAAACCCACAAGAGTGGTCAGGTGTTAATTTAAAATACAGTACTAAGTGGCCTACTTAATGTGGTGTACTGAAAAGTAGCTAAATAAACCAGCAGACAATGCATTTATGGAACAGAATGTTATTTTAACAACATAAATTATTAAACACCGCATCAAGTCATCTGTACACCTAAAAAACAACTCTTAATCTGTAACTAGCAAATTGAGGCATAATGATATTGGAATATAATAGCAAAGACCCCAAAGGTAGGCTAAGGTAAATAATGTTAAGCTGTTATCAGTACCAATTTTATGAAACGACATTATGATAGATTTTAACCCTTTGACGCAACGCGCGATCCAGAGAAAGATGCGCTCAGTATCACAACTGTTCGGTGTTTTCAACCACATGAAGTTTATTTTAGGTTTCAGACATTTAAATAGACATTTCAATTAAGTACTAGCAAAAAAAGACATTTATAGTTTGTTAAAAACACTTATTTCTATGGAAAGCAGCAATAATAATCCCTGTTTTATTCCTATCAAATACACATTGTGTTGGTAACTATGAAGTCTACTCTGTTTTTCTCCCAGTTCACTGGCCACTTACTTTCCTGTATTTTGGGAGAAACGGGTGAATTTACGTGGTGTTAATCTGACAGATCTATTATAGTGTCCAGCGCACATTATAGATCAACTAACATGGTCATTAAGGTTTTTTAAACGACAAAACGAACTAATTTACACATATTTGACAATCAGAATAGTCTGTATCATATAGTTTATGATATAATTAACAAGATTGTGGATATTTAAATAAAAAAGGAATAAAAGCATTACATCTGTCATACAGCGCTATTGTGCCTGCATGACGCGTCGCTATGGAAGTAATAAGATGATACGTATAGATTATTTAATTATTTAATATTGCATTTTTGTATTATTACCATTGTCCATTGACATAACATATAAAAAAAGATAGAAAAAAAACAAGCTGTGATTTCATGTACTCTTGGGGGCCCCCTGGTGGACACGGGGGCCCTAAGCAGCCGCTTAGTTCGCTTATGCCTTGGGCCGGC